GTGTGTGTGTGTGTGTGTGTGTGTGTGTATTTTGGTAGTACACATCCACTAATGAGAGAGAATGGAATTCTTTTTATGAGGATAACATTTTTAACTAATTAGTGATTAAAGTGACCTTTTCCTATCATTTCTATCATCAAAACTTACTGTAAAGTTTTATCTATTAATACAGGTCAGTAATGAGAACTTATAGGTTTCATACCTAAAATTTTTTTTCATACAAGTACAGCCAAATATGGATATCAATCTATGAATATATAATTTTAACTGAATATATGTCACCTTGTAGGGTATTCTAGAATTCTTCTCCTGGATTTTTACTTTAACACAGCAGATTAATCATTTCTAATTGAAGGTTATGAGGAAGTTTCTCTTTTGGACAACTGGATTTTATACACAAAAATTTAAAATGCTATTGCAACTGTGGCTTGAGCTCATAAAATATATCTACTGCTAATGTGTGTGGGTTAGAGATCTTCTCTAAATTTGTAAGTATAAAAAAACAGCCTGACAGGGGCTGGGGTTGCAACTCAGTGGTAGTGTCCTTGCCTAGCACATGTGAGGCACTGGGATTTCGATCCTTAGCACCACATTAAAAAAACAAACAAACAACAACAAAAAAAAAAAACCACAAATAAAATAAGGGTATTGTGTCCATTTATAACTAAAACTATTAAAAAAGAAAGGAAAAAAACCACCCTGACATTACCTGTAATTCAAACAATTTTATTAGTTGTTAACTGAAATGAGTTTATTACAAATAAGTTTCACAGATAAAACTGTTTGCTTTATAGCTTTAGATTAAATTCATTAGGAAATTCTGTCAAGTCTGCAGCAAAAGCTATTTTCTGGGCTGGGGATACAGTTTAGTATTAGAATGCTTGCTCTGCATATAAGAGTCCCTAAGTTCTACCCACAGCTCTAGGGTAAAATAGCTATTATTAAGTGTCTGTTAAGTAGTGAAGGGTGATTCTTTTCTTTTGGTACCAGGAATTGAATCCAGGGGTGCTTAACCACTGAGTAACATCCCCAGTCCTTTATTTATTTATTTATCTTGAGCTAGGGTCCTGCTAAGTTGCTGAGGTTGGTTTTGAACTCAGGATCTTCCTGTCTCAGCCTCCAGAGCCATTGGGATTGCAGGTGTGCATCACCAAACTCAGCTGAGTGATTCTTTCAAGTTCAGAAAAATCTCATTTTCAGTCATAAGCTAAAAATGTTTCAATAATCCTTCATTCCTTCTTGGCCATCTAGCAGGTAGCTGTGGGGTGGGGCAAGGCAGGGTACTCACCTTGGATCTCTGACAAAAGCTTACAATAACAACAGGCTTTAAAAAGCCTTACATTTTCACAAGCTTTGTAAGTCTGCCCAACTAAGTCTTTTTCTGTTACATGTATTTTTACCAACATCAATTAAGGCACACCTTAGTGGATTCCTCGTCAGATTGTACTGAATTAGAGTTTTCTCAACTTCTTTGAGAATTTTTCATCTGAAGTTGTTCCACATAGGATATTTATTCAGAGTAATTCTCATTACTTCACACTCAGCATTGATCATTCAAATAAACTAGAAGCAATTCTAACATTTATTAACTCACCAAGAATCAAGCTTATATTGAGTGTACTTTTTATATTTCATTTTTTGTGAATAAATTCTGTGACTGTTATTTTAAATATCTTAATTTTGTGACTATTACTTTGAACAGTAATTACTATGATGACTGCTTAGTCTGGTAATATCAACTTTTATTCTTTAGGCATAGCTATAGTGTAATTCATTGCATAATAAGGAAAATACTTTGCCACCTAATTCATAATGTATAATTATAATTTATAATACCCCAAATAGAAGAGTAAAGCATTGAGAGCCTCACATATGATTGCTGTCCACACTATTCAACTCAATCTGCTATCATAGTTCAAAGAAGCCACAGACAATACATAAATATATGAGCATTTCTGTGCTTCAATAAAACTTTATTTATGGACACCGAAATTAAAATATCATATAATTTTCAAGTATAAAATTGATTTATTTTGATCATTTAAATAGGTAATAACTATTCTTAGTTGATGGACTACACACAAACAGGCAGCAGGATAGATTTAGCAATATGTGGTGGTTGTCTGCCAACTCCTGCTATAAGCAATACAGAACTACTTAATATTTTTGTCTATTTGGGGCATTTTCTGATAATTAATATAGTCAGCGTAATGTAGCACAGACTAGAAAAAGACTGAAAACAGAGAGAGAGAGATTAGTCTAGTCATAGTCTAGTACATAAAATCTGTGTTCCTAAGTTTATATCTTATTTCTCTGGTATACACTATCTGTATAATCTTGGATAGAACTTATTAGTTTTTCATAGTCTAGTCTCAAATTACTCATTTATTATAAAGGATACCAGTACATACTTCAAAGCATTGACCTAAAGATTAAATGAGATGATCCATGTAAACTTATTACAATATAGTACTTACATAGACTCAGTAAATGTTAACCATACATATTATTACTATGAAAAATTAGATGATAATCACATCCCTAAAGATGATACTGAAAAAATAAAAATTGAAAAGATAAAATGAAGCACTTCTAGGCACATCTAATGGAAATGCAGAAATAGATTCCAATAGATATGAGAAACAAAGCTTATTATTTTATAGGATATCCTCCAAAACTGGAAGGCAGAACTTAAAACATAAATTCAGAAGTACCATGTGAATATGGACAAATCTTTTAAAAGCTGGATTAGATGTCAAGGACAAAACAGGAAAGTAAGATGATTACATAGAAAAGGATACAGGTGCTATATTTAAGAATGACAGGAAGTGGTAAAGTCAACAAAGATATAGTAGGTGGAAGAATAGAGAACACAGTAGCAGTATAGAAGAATCAATACAGCAATTCCTATTATGAAAAGATAAATACTTAGATGTGTGAAAAATTGAAAGAAGTCATTTAAGACAATCAAGTGTAGATGCAATATAATGATTTTATAAGAAAACACTATTTAAGTTAAAAAATCTACTTACTGACACAGCTATCATGGTACTATCTGGTCTCCATTCAGCTTGTCTGTAGGATCCGAACTGAGTAGATGATTTTGTAGGTTCCTTGTAGGTTACAATTAACACACTAGGCTGGAAGAAAATAGTTGTATTTTTATTAATCTCATAAAACATACACAAACAAAATAACAGAACACTGTGAAGTATTTGAGAAATAAACAATCTAATATTAAACTATCAGCTTTCAACATTCTAAGTAAATCAACCAAAAAGAAAAATAATGTGTTAGGCCTCTATTTTTTAAAGAAAAGGAATCAATAATAAATAAAATTACATTACAAAACAGAAAAAAAAAACCTGCCCAGATATGTTCACAGGTGAATTCAACAAAATATTTAAAGAAGAAATTATACTGGTTTTCTACAAGGTCTTTCAGAAAATAGAAACGGGGGAAAATACCTCCTAACACATTCTGTGAGGCCACTGTTATCCTAATAATAAAACCACAAAAAGACATTACATGAAAAGTAAACTACACACCAAAATCCCTTAGGAATATAGATTATACATAAACTCTTAAAAAATATTAACAAACCAAATTCAATAATTTATAAAAAGAATTATGTACCATGACCAAGTGGGCTAGATCCCAGGCACACAAGCCTGGCCAAACATTAGAAAATAAATTAATAAATCACATCAACAGGCTAAAGAAGTAAAACTCACGATTATAACAATAAATGTAGAAAAAGCATTTAACATATCTAACACTCATTTATGATAAAAACAAACAAACAAAAACCTTTCACCAAACTAGGAATAGGTGGGAACTTCCTCAATCTGAACACCTACCAAAAATCCACACCTAATATTATACTTTGTAGTAAGATATTCCAAGCTTTTCCACCAAGAACAGGAACAAAGGCAATGATGTTCCTTCTATCCACTGCTTTTCAACATAATAGCACAAGTCCTAGCTAATTTAATAAGACAAGAAAATAAAATAAAACATATACATACTGGGAAGGAAGAAATAAAATTATCTTTACTCATAAGATAATATGATCATTTATGTAGAAATTCCAAAAGAACATCAAAACCTCTAGAAATGATATGCAATGATAGCAAAGTTGCAGAATACAAAGATAATATAAAAAAGCCAATCACTTTCATATATTCCAGCAAAGAAAAAGTGGAATTTGTAATAAAAAAATATTTTTCCCATTATATTAGCTTTTTAAAAGTGAAATATTCAGTGTATAAATCTAACAGACTTTATATAACATTTACATGAGGAATATCATAAGACTCTGAGAACTAAATAAAAGATATCCTACTTTAATGAACAAAAGAGTCAATACTACTAACATGTCAGTTCTTCCCAATTTGATCTATGGATTAAATGTAATCTCAGTCAAAATCCCAGCAAGTTATTTTGTAGACATCAATAAATGCACTCTAAATTTTATATGAAAAGGCAATAGATGAAGAAGAGCCAACTCAATACTGAATAAGAACATGTTGGAGAACATGATATTATTACCTAACTTCAAAACTTACTGGTTAAAAAAGAAACAAATCAATCAAAGAAAAAGAACAGAGTCTAGGAATAGACCCATACAAATACACTCAACTGATCTTTGACAAAGAAGCAAAGGCTATATAAGAAAAGATAGTCTTGTCAACAAATAGTGCTAGAATTAATGAACATCAACATTTATGAAAATAAATCTAGATGTACAGCTTACACCCTTCATAAAAATTAATTTAAAGTAAATCTGACCTAAATGTAAAATATAAAACCCCTGGAAGATAACAGTAGAAAAATCTAAACAGCTTTAGGTATGGCAAAGGCTTTTTGTAAATGACACCAAAAGCACAATGTTGAAAGAAATGATTGATAAACTCGACTTTAAAGCAAAAAGTATTACCTAAATAAAACATCCTTAACTAATAATCTGCACTATAAAAGTGGAAAAGAATCTAGAGGGCTGGGGTTGTGGCTCAATGGTAGAGTGCTTGATTAGCACATGTGAGGCACTGGGTTCGATCCTCAGCATCACATAAAAAAAATCAATAAATAAAATAAAGGTATAAAAAGTTATATAAATCTTTATATATGTGTAAAGAATCTAGAAAAGGAAATTCAAAAGCTGTTTTTTTAGAAGTGGCTTCAGGCAATGCCAGAGAAACTTGGTTGAACTAACCCTCCTGGAGATAAGGACAACAATCTAGAAAATGAAGTATTTCAAGGCATTGGAAATCAACCTAAAATAGGCAAAAACTGGAAGGTAGCTATCCTGAAAGACATGACATGCCACAGGTAAAATTTGTAAATCTGGCAAGCACAATGGCACATGCCTGTAATCCCAGGGACTCAGGAGGCTGAGGCAGAAGGATCCCAAGTGAAAAGTCAGCTTTAGCAACTTAGGGAGGCCCTAAGAAGGTTAGTGAGGCAACCATTATCCTGATACCAAAACCAGAAAAAGACATTACATGAAAAGTAAACTACGTATCAAAATCCTTTAGGAATATAGTTACATAAACTCTCAAAAAATATTAACAGGGCTGGGACTGTAGCTCAGTGGCAGAGCACTTGCCTAGCATGAGTGAGGCAGTGGGTTCAATCCTCAGCACCACATAAAAATAAACAAATAAAATAAAGGCATTCTGTCCATCGACAACTACAAATTTTTTTTTAAATATTAGCAAATCAAATTCAACAATGTATAAAAAGAATTATGCACCATGACCAAGTGGTGGGGAATATAACTCAGTGAATAAGCGCCCATGGGTTCAATCTGTGTTACCAATATATACATATATAAACATATTATATATATTTTATAAATATTGTTTTTTGCTAAATTTGCAACCCAATCTGTATCTGATTCAGAGGTAAAAATGTGACAGATTTACTTACTTGAGGCAAAAAACAGAAAATAAAGCTCAGACCTGCTACTCTTGCTGGAAAGCTATGGAGGAAATTCTAAAAGAACGAGTGCCTCAGGGAAGATCAATCTCAAAAATCACACTTAAACTACTCTAAACTACATGGGAAAGACTTTCCCCTTCATGGGAAAGACTAAACTGCATCTGATGAAAAAGCAACAGGTGGCAGTTGAGAAAAATGAAGGAAGATACTAGATATTGCCTACCATAAGAGAAATAGATAATTGAATTGAGATAAAAGTTACAGCCTGCATGAACATAACACTCTTTGGAGGAACATAACAAAATCTGGTTTCTATAATTTATAGAGAATGTCAAGAATTAATAAGCATGTGAAGGAGCAAAAAAGGATAACTCATATTTAAAAGAAAAAAACTGTTAAGAGAAACTGATAGAGAGGTATGGCCCAGAAGTTGAACTTATATCATAAATTTTAAAATGAAGGTATTATAAACATGTTCAAGGAAAAATATACATAATGAGTGAAGACAAAGGGAGAAATCTCAAAACGGAAAAAGAAACCATACAAAAGAAATTGGCTCTCCCTCCTCATCTGCTCCTCCCCTCATAAACAACATACCTTCCCCCATAAGAACCTAATGGAAATTCTAGAGCTGAAAAACATACACAGGGAAACTCACAATTTTATGAATTATATGGACTGAATCTGTAATAAAATTAGTAGGAATTATCTGATCTGAAAATCACAGAGAAAAAAAAGACTAGATTAAAGTAAGCATTGTTAAAAACAAGAGGGATCATATCAAGCAATATTAATAAAAGGAGTCCAAGAAGAAAAATGAGAGTGGGGCAGAAATACGATTTTTCAGATCCTCAAGAACAGAGTACCAGAAATGATTAATATGGGTGAACAGAAAAAACTGCATGTATCTTTTCTTTATCTCTTATTTCTTTAAAGGCCATGATTATTTAAAGCAAAAATTATAATAGTATTATAGGATTGATAAAAAATTGAAGAGATATAATTATATATATATATATGTACTACACATATACATACAAAAGAGAGGTAAATGGAACTATACTAATGCAAAGTTCCTATATTTGATGTTAAACAGTAAAAACGTTATTTCTAAATACAGGGTGATAATGAACTATACTATAATCACAACCATCACCACCTCTCTTCCCAAAGCAAAGAAGTACAGATTTAACAGCCAACCAAGAAACTTAAAGTAGAATTCTAAGATAATATTCTGGCAATCCAAAGTAATCGGGAATAATTAGAAAATAAATAGCAAATTGGTAGACTGTTATGGTTTGGATCTGAAAAGTCTCCCAGAGGCTCACATGTTGAAAATTTGGTCCATGGCTAGTAGTGTTATCGAGAGATGGTGGAAATGTTAGGATGTATGGACTAGCTGGAAGTAGTAATCCATTGGGGGCATGTCCTTGAAGGGTTTATTTGTCCCCAGTGCCTACTATCCTCCCTCTTTCCCACTGCTTCCTAGCCATCATGAGGTGAGCAGCTTTGCTTCACCATGTTCTCCCTGCCATGATGTTCTATCTCACCACTGGCCTAAAAGCAGCAGAGTCAGCTGACCATGTACTGAAACTTCTGAAACCATGAGCAAAAGCAAATCTTTCCTCCTTTTAAGTTGTTCATGTCAGTTATTTTGTCACAGCAACAGAAAGTTACAGTTAACCATAACAATATTTATGATAAATATAATTTAAAAAACTAAGACTCACCTATGTTATCTATAAGAAATGGCCTATGAATACAATAATACAAAAGGATCAAAAATAAAAGAATAGAAAAATATGTACCACGTAAATAGTAAACCATAAAAAGCTGGAATGATTAAACTCAGAAAAAATAGTGCTTAATTTAAGAAACATCATTACATATAAGGAAAATTTTCCTATTAAAATGGTAAATTCATTAGGAAGGCAAACAATTATACATGTCTATTAATAAAGTTTCAAAATATATAAAAGAATATAACATCATTAAAAGGAAAAAATATATACAATTATAATCAAGGACCCCTCTCCCAGTAATTTTATAAAATTGGAGAAGAATTACAATCATGTTCATTCATTCTTCTGTGTCAAAGGCCTGCAAACTTTCTGAAAAGAATCAAAGAGCAAACAATTCAGGCTCCGTGAGATACATACAGACTCTGCCACATATTCTTTTCTTTTCCTTCTTCAAA